GTTTTATGAATCTTACATGAGAGAAAGTTGAATTGGTCCTTCTCAGCATGGCCAGAGGGCTGACATCAGAATCTATGATCTTCTTACTGACTATGAGATCTAAGAAAGGGAGGAAATAATTTATAATAAGGGAAAATAATGGGGCAAACAAGGTGGAAAAAGAAATCAGTTGACAAATCAGCCGTGTCATCATTCCGTGACCTCATTCCAGTTTGTTCCTGAGAAAGTCCTGTCTTCTAGTTTTGGGGTTCTATGAGACATACGTTTAGCCTCACAATAAATTCCTCTTTGGCTCAAGTTAGCTCTAGTTAGTTTCTGTCATTTCTTTTCAAGCTAGTAAACCACCGGCTTCCTGAGCTGGGCCCAGAAGGAGTTTGTGCACGAAGATGAGCTAATATTGAACACTGTGGATTCACCGCTGGCACAGAGATACACGGCTGAGTCCTGCAGCTCTGTGGGAGGGATCTCCAGGCTACAGGGTGAGTTTGGGGGACACTCAGCTGAAAATCTCTCTTTGGGCATCAGTCCTTCATCTAAGATATTTTCATTCTGGAAGGAAATCAAGAACTTGAACTCTTTTGCCAGCTTCTGTTGATACCAGAAAATAAAATGGTGTCTTTTTTTTGGGACACAATTCATTTTTACTTTCTATTCTTTCCCTTTGACCAGGTGCCCAGGAATCTGGGTGACTGCTGCATCAAGGGCCCCTGTAACGAAAGCAGATGTGAGTTGGAGACTTAGCCCGTGAGGGAGTCTGATGGCATGGACGACAGGCTTAGGGCAGGGGCTGACACGTTCAGAACAGCCTTACCTGAACTCATGAGACAGAGGGCCATGAAGCAGGTGAATATCAGGCACAGGGCAGAATTAGGGAAAGAGTGGGGGCAGGGGGCTTTCTCTGAGTCTTTTTCATCCCCTGTGAGCAGCTGCTCTGTGACATGATCTCTTCACAGAATCCAAGAGTCTTTATACAAACACGCCCTTTTTTTAGTCACAGAGAGATCACTCCTTCAGATGCCATCTTCAGCTTTTACATGAATATTTGCATTCCATATATTCCTTCAAATGTATTCTCCTAAAGATTAACATTATATACTTATTATTTTATAACTTAGTATATATAAAATATATGACTATATACATAGTAGTATATATAAAACAAAAGCTTATTTTTGTTTCTCTGCTGCTTGATCTCTTTCAAGCATTTGACAATATACTGACTATATCCTAATTCCTGGAAATTTCTCCTCTCTCAGCTTCATTCACATCATTTTTAGTTAAATTTCTTATTTCATGTCTATTGTTTTCCTAAAATACAGTTTCTGGAACCTAAATCTATCCATTCAATTTAGAATACTGCTCTATACAAGTATACAACATAAACAGAATATCTGAGACTACTGTATTCAGTTATTGGAAAACAGGCAGCACAGGACTGTTATTTTTCTACAGCAAGAAAAAAATGGGACAATGTCTACACACAGTGAGGAAGGAAAAACAGAGCATGGAAAATTTCCTGAGATGAGAAGACCAAGGTTGAAAGATAGAGGGGACAAAGGCAGCTGGAAATCGTGAGGAAGACTGCCAGAGGGGAGAAAGCTCCACCAAGAACTCCAGAAATCTTCACAGGGATCAGAATGAATTTTTGTCTCCACAGTAATCTGTGTCTGTGTAGGATGAAACTTTAAAAAATACTAGAGAGGAACCACAGAAAAGATTCACCAGTGTCCCCAGAATGGCCATGCTTCAGTAGCGGGACCAAATGAGGCTAGAGCAGGAGTTGGCAAATTACAGCCCAGGGGCTGGCCACCTGTTGATCTAAATAGTTTTATTGGGGTGAGAAGAACTTCCAGAATGGCAGCATGAAGAGCTTTGAATACCTGCTTTCCAGAGAAAGAACCTAACTGCTGAAAATTTGGAAACAACTACGCAATGCCTCTGAAAATCGTCCCAAGAGCATACAGCAAATAGAGAAACAGTTATTCAAGAAAATCTACTATCTCCCAGAAGAGCAGTGAGTCTGTGTCATTTGAGCCATGACACCCTGCCTCCTGCAACACCCCCAAGCTCAGTGTAACAGAAGCTCTGCTCCTTGTGCCTGTGGTCAAGAAACAGGGATCCTTCAGTTTCTCCCAGAAAGGGGAAGGCTATGAGCATTCCTCATTCCCTCCAGCTTCATGTTGTACAAGCTGTATTGCTGGAGCTGCCCAGAGCTCTGGGCTCCCTTCCTCCACTTGCCGCCCAGGCCCACTCATAGGGTAGACCTTCCATTCCAGAAACAACAGGCCAAGAATACCAGGCCCTAATCATCCTCATTCTGGCTTGCTCATAGTGTGGAGGTTCTATGTGAGAGGGGCCAGTCAAGAAGATCACAGCACACTACCCCATCCAGGGATGCACTCAGAGCAGAGGTGTCATTCCAAGAGAAGAGGGCCACTGCTGCTGCTCCCAGCTCTGGAGCCATGGTGCAGAGGTTCTGCCCATGGGAGAGGCAGTCTATAAGGACAGAAGCTTCATAGCTCTGCTTTGACTTAAGGATCTGGCCAGCCTTGCTCAGATTTTCTTAGAACTGTACTGCAAGCTAAGGCCTCCTTTTCTTCCTTTCTTGCTTCCCTCCTCCTTCTCTTCCTTTCCTCCTTTCTTCCTTTCTTTTCTCCTTACAGGGGTCAGATCTGCAACACAGTATAATGGCCCAGCCCCTTCTGCTTCCTTCCGATTTTCTCTCACAGGAATTTTCTCTTCAAAATTCCTTGCATGACTAATCCAAGTTTAGAATCTACTTCCTGGAGGACCTAAACTAAATCATCTTTCTTAGGTGGGTTTGGGGCCCTCCATAAGTGTCACAATCAGTATTCAGCTGTGCAGAGGTAACCGAAAGTTCCAGAAAATAGTTCCTGTCAATACCTGTGATGGCATTGGATCATCACAGAGATCCTCCTCTTAAAAGATGTCCTTATTTGACTGTTGGGAAATGAAAGTCTTGAACAAAAATGAGAGAGATTGGAGGAGGCTGCAGCTGGATGAGACATAACCCCAGGAAGAAACCGCTCACTCCTGTAGAAGTGCGATCAGGCAGTATTGGTCCTTCCATGACAGGCTTATGTCACTTAGCATAACGTTCTCAGGATTCATCCATGTTGTGCATATTAAAGAATCTCCTTCTGTTTTCAGCTGAATAATATTTTATTGTGTGTGTTTACCATGTTATACTTAAAATTTTAGGGGAGCAGATCTCTTTGTAAGTGTTCTTACCCCAATAAAAAAGAAAAAGACACCACTCACTCTTGCTCCCTTACTCTTCCTAAATTCCCGCGGCATCCAACACCATGATCTCGTGTTTGTTTTCCAGTTTTTTTCTATCAGATTCTCCTAAGATTTAATTCCCTCCTTCCTTGAATGTGTCCCCACAGTTTTAGTGAACTTCGCACCCCTAGAGAACACAGGAATTCTCTGCTGGTCTGCTTTGTAATGTCAAACCATGTGCCTTTCCACCTCCTTTTCCCTCATCATGCTTTCCAAAGCCATCCAGGTATAAGGATCAGACAGGGCACCAGAGAAGCAGAAGCATCTGCATCTTTAGTCCTGGGTCTCACATTTTATCTGGGCCTGGAATGAGATGTCACTATGCTCTTGATTTCTCTCTTCCCCTTATTCAGGAGGATGTGGAGTGTTTATGTAACAAAGAAGCTCTACTCTGTCCCCTGGTTGAATTCTTTGGCCATTTCACTCAAGATGCATCAATTTTCCAGATGGTATCACGGAGTCATAAAATGCAGGAAGAGGCCCCGGAGACATCTATCCACAACATCTCATTTTTTGGAAGAAAAAAATTGAAATCCAGGCAGGTGAATAAAAAGACACAAGCTTTAGTAATTTGTGAGAAAAGGGGTATATACCCATGGTGAGTAAAAGAGAGAGGAAAGCAGAACACTGCACTTAGATCATAGGTGGCTCAGATGACAGCTTTTGGTTTCTCTGATTTTTTACTTAAAATTACCAGAATCAAATCTTGGATAATCCTTCATTGCCTCTTGAATAAAAAGTTTGAAGCATGTGATGCTGTTGACTATATGTGGTGATGTAATAAACTATTGCTGAGTAGGAATGTGTAACTATATGTCCTTTAAAATTAAAATGAGGACACATTCTCATCCTCTGAGTCAGAAGTCTTACAGCTGGAAGATGCAATCCCTTCTTGCACTGATGAACTTCATTCAATCCTGCCTCCAATTATTCAATCAGTCATCATAAATATTTCAATCTAGTAAAGAATATAGATACCTACTGGCTTTTAGAAACCTTTTTTTATCAGATTCTAGAAATCCCTTTTGTTTCAAAGAGGATGCAGTAATTATATTTTTTATTAATATTAAAAATGTAGGGTAAATTCAAGCAATTTTAATATATCTTCCAAAGCACAGTATCTAGCTTTTGATATGAGTTCTATTTATGCTCCACGTAAATGGTTCATAGAGAGATTTATATCAGGCAAAATAGTTAAGTATATTGTAAATAATGTATGTCCCAGGCAATTCATTTGTCTTCTAATTTTGCAGCTTAGCAAGAAAACTGAGACAGCATCAACTTGCCTATGAGGGCAATTTCTTCTACTCACGGCAAGGATTTATAAGAGTGGGCTTCCATGTTGCCTGGGCCTATCCTTTAACGTATTTCTAAGTCTCAAACTTAGATTAAAAAAAAAAAAACTGAACAAAAAAGTTCCCATCTATGAACTGAAGAGAACAGAATGAGTGATTAACGTTATTCTGGGAAAATACCACAAACTGAATGTCAGCATAACCACTTGTCTACTCTTGGCATAACTGTCATGGTTTTTGCAGTATTATACCCAACTTCTATCTACAACAGATATAATAACAGCCATAAACCCACTTCCTATTGTTGTTGAAGGAGGGGTGGGAGGTCTAAGAAGGTCCTTGGATCTGGGAAACAGAGAGGTTTATGAACAGTGGGGAGCAGTGCTTTGGCTCTGTGTCTCTGCTGGCACAGAGATACACTGCTGAGTCCCCCACACCTGGGGAGCAGATGCTAAGAGAACAGAAGGAAGTGTTAGGCCGGCTGGGTAGGAAGTTGTTGGAGGTGTCTGTTTCATTGTTAAATTCTTTATCATAGTGGGAGAACAGCAGCTTTGGGGCTTAGCTCGGCTTTTGCTGGTACCAGTACATGAGCTCATGGTTCAAATTCTGAAAACAACTCAGTGTCACTAGTTTTCCCTTCCTGGTAATCTGGTATTTCAGGTTCTGGGTGACCATGGCACACATGTGACCTGGAGAGAGAGAAGGAAAATTTAGAGACAGAGTCAAGAAGGACACAGATGTTCCTGGCATAAAAGGAAGAAATGTAACTTAGGACACAATAGCTTTAGTCAAAGCTGTCCTTCTGACCAGGACTCACCTACTCCAAGGAGACAAAGGGCCACACAGTGGAGAAGCCTGAGAGCCATGGCAGGGCCAGAATGAGAACGAGGCACCTGTCTGTTCCAGGCTCTGATCTCTGGGTTGAGAAGTGGGAGTTCAGAGAGTCCCTGGTCCCTGATAGGTAGATCTGCCTGTGATGACATTGCTGCTGTTGACCTCATCAGGGTCACTCCTGTGTGACATTAGACATAGCTTCCTACGTGGCAGGGGAGTCTGGGCTTGCCTGGATCAGGTATGAAGCGGATGTGGTGTTCCCTTATTTGTCCTTATTCCTGCATCTGCCTCGTGTTCATCCAAGACTCCCCATCTCACACTTCATTTCTTACATCCTATAAGGTAGCTCAGAGGTCCTGCAACACATTAATGGTTTTGGCTAAAGTCTCATTTATACACTTGATGACATAACGTATTTGAGTTCTGTTATCCACATCACAGATGGATGCAAACGATCCCCACCTTGATATAGAAATCAAGCCCAGGATTTCCTCTATCTAGATACAGTTTTCAGAGTATCAAAGAAATTCTCTACAACTTTTGGCTATCAGTGACACCATAAAGCATCCTTGTGGCCAGTAGAAAAGTGTCTAGAACCACCTTTCTACACTGGCCTGAGGAAATCTGTGTAACAGGATGAGATACAATAGGGCTTAGGACTGTATCTAGTTCCTCATTCTCCTCCTACTGGATCCATAACCCTCAGACCATCACATCCCCAGTGTCCTGGCCTCACTAAGAATAACACAGCCCTACTGCAGTATCTGGAAGTGACTTCAGAATGTTCAGGATTGGCTGACATATGTCTATACACAGTGCTAACTCCTGTTCAATACATTTCAAAATCAGACTCTATCGATAAAGGGAGATTAAATTTAATTTGTAATAATTGACCTGGTTATTCTACTCAAAAAAAAGATTTTTAAAAGTATTTGGAAATGGACTTTTGCTCAACAAATGTAACTTAACCTTACCACCCCTATTACCACCATTATCAATGAGCATCCCACAAACAGCAGTAAATGCATTTTTATTCACTATTTTAATTTCCTTCAGGGAGACTTGTTTATCTTATGACAAGAAAGGCTATGAAGATGTGGCCACAATCAGAGTCACAATTCCTTTCAGATGAGACCAGTGAGGTAGGCAAGAAACTGTTGTACTTTACACCAGGATAACACACACACACACACACACTTCAAAATCACTAATGCACAGACTGTTCTTATTAAGGAACCTCAGAAATGCCTCAAATCACAAGTATGTCCACTCACACTGTCTTGAAATGCTCTTGTATTTCAAGGGGTAATTCTGGTTCTCCCTCTCTTCTTTACCTTGTCGGACGAGGCACAAAGAAAGACTTCTGCTTAGAGCTGCCATGAGTTGAGACGAGAGGAGAGAAGGGTGTGGTTTTACACAGGAAGGGAATGACTCTGAAGCACTGTGTCTTGGCTGCTGGCACAGAAATAAACTCCAGAGTCCTCCAGCTCTGAATGCTGGACCTTCAGGGTGGAAAATGTCCCTTCAGTCCTTTCAGCTGAGAATCGCTCATTGGGCATCCCTGAGTCATCCTGTTTATCCTTTCTTAGGAAGTATACCAGAAATTTTATTTCTTTCCCCACAGCACGTCGGTACCAATAAAGAGATGCATGTCCAGAAATTGGGTCACATCTCAGAGTCACAGCTTGTTTCTTCTCTATGACTCTGTAGTTGGGGAATTGAGTGACTCCAGCTGACTCTACAGTGTGTCCTGTGGGAAAAGACAAGAACATGGAATACATGACAAGAATGGAAAGGGAAAGGGCAAACTGGAGATATTCAAATTTCTAAGGACTTACTTGCTCCCAGGAGACAAAGACACACTAAGCTGAGAAGCATGAAAACCATCACAGGATCCAGATAAAACACAACTTTTCCAGATTAGGGAACTTGTAAGTATGAGTAGAAATGGAAGCAAATTATTGTCGCCTTGGCCCTAGAAGGTGTGGCCTGGCAGTGACATCACCCTGTCAGCCAATGTCCACAGTCTCAGGAGCTCCCTCTAGGGAGGTAGGAGCATAGAAGGAAGAGCACGTTTTCTGTGAAGAAGATTGACCCTTGAGGTTGATGGAGAAGAACCGATGCCAATAAAAACAGACCTGTTTGTGCATTTAACTCGGTATTAGCCTCATATATGTCCATGAAGAAATCACTGTCATAGCTCCTGAGTCCAATGTCTAGACTCTACTGCATCCCACTGAGCCCTATCGTCTCTCATGTATCACATCCCTAAAGACTGGGGGCATTTCAACTTAAAGTGCCTATTGTTGCTATTCTTGCTATTTCTAATTATCAGTACTTGTTATCTTCAAGTTCTCTTTTCCCATTCTCTCTTCAATGAGTCCCAATCCAATTTGCTCTCACCAGTCTCAAAATCAGCATGCTCAGAAAATGAAAAATTATCTTCAACTCTGCTCCACCAGTAACCTTCAGGTCGATCCAGCTGAAAACCTTATCGTTTACTTGACGCCTCTGTTGTTGTGGGCTTGAGTTGTCCTTGGCTCTTCTTTCTCTATTGCACCCTATAGCCAATCCACGGGGAAATTCAACTGATTCTATCAACAAAATACACATAGAATCTGTCTATTTTTCATCACCTTCACCGTTAACACTGTACCAAACTCCCATCATCTTTGCCTGGGATACTGCAATAGATTCCCAACTGGTCTCCCTGCTTCCACCTTACTTCCTAACTAGCTGTCAAACTAAGCTTTCTAGGACATGTTGTATCATATCACTCATCTGTTCCAAATCATCTACTAACTGTCAATTTAATTCAGAATAAGAAGTTAAAGCTCCTAGGACTTCAAGGTCTTGTAGCATTCACCTACCCCATTACCTCTCTGACATAACCTCTTAACTCTCTCCCTTCATTTTCTAGTCATGCTGGCCTCCTTGTTGCTCCTTGAGTATCTCTTAGGGCCTTTATACCAGCTTTTCCCTCTGCCTGGAATGCTCTTCCCCCAGATATCTGCATGTCTCTCTACTTCATCTCCTTGACATCTCTGCTCAAAGGTCACTTTCTCATTGGGCCCTACCCTAAAAAACATATGGACGGTTTTGACCCTCCTTACTCAGGAAGCCCTGGTCCTCCTACCTTACTCTGCCTTTTCTTTTCTCCATAGCAGGCATCACCTTCTAACATAATATATATTTTACTGACTTATTATGATTATTGCTTATTTTCTGTCTCTCTTCCTCCCAATAATATGTAAACTTCATGAAGATATGAAGATTTTTAAATGATGTATGCCCAGACCTTGAAACAAAGCGTGAAACTCCTCTGAAAGGAGGAAATGATGGAATTGAATCTTGAAAGAAAATCAGAGCTTCTCAGCTCTTTAAATGTCTGCTGGGATTTTGATAGGGATTGTGTTGAATCCATAGATCAATTTAGAGAGAATTATCACTTTAATAACACTGACTCTTCCAATCCATGAACAGAGACTATCTCTTCAGTTATTTAGATTTTTCTTTCAGCAATGTTTTATAGTTTTTCTCTGTTCACATCTTGCATTCCTTTTGTTAATTTTACATCCACGTGGTTTTATTCCTTTTGCCATTTTTGTGAATTAGATTGTTTTCTTAATTTCATTTTCAGTTTGTTGCTAGTGTATAGAAATACAATTGATATTTGTATATTTTTGTATATTTATCCTGAGATCTTATTAGGTATATTTCTCTGTTAAAAAACAGAACAAGACATGAGAGCCTGGAGCATAGAGCTGCTGAGAAAGCATTTATTTTATAAAAACTGTACCAACAACACTTCAATATTAAGATATCACAAGATTATCTCAACATATAAGCTTCAAGTCAGCTCCCTGGACTTTCCTTTCTATTAACCATACAGGCTCAAAACCATCCAATTATGCAGTGTCTCAGATTTGTTCTGACAGTCTCAGATTGGTTCTGGAAGCACTTGGAATTCTCTAACATGGTTGGAGTTACAGGTGCTGAACTGATGTCTTGTTCCCTGAGCTGATTGAGGAGCTTGGGTTTCCTCCATAGGTCTTGATGCCATGATATGTTCCTTGTCTCCAGCACAGTGACTCATATCATAGCAAGTATCTAATAACAATAGTTTTCAGTGCCATATTTATGGAAGGAATTTGACATTTACTGACATCTTAAACTGTGGCATTAATTGTAAAACGAAAAATATGTTTCTTTTTCTCCCAAGGAAAGAAAATCTCAGTTTCTTAGGGAAGTTTGACCTACATTGTTGGCAATTATAACTTGACTTTCATTCTTTAACACAGCTCTCAATAGTTCTTCCATAGTTTATATAGGACTTTCTTTCATTGATAGAGTAATGGTAGCCTCAAACTCATTTTCTCTCATTACTGTTTGGAGATGGGAGTTAGGTAAAAACATGAGAGTAAGATTTTCAAACAATAATATGAGAGCATGAGTTTCTTGACCTAGTCTCAGATTCACTGGACATGTTGGAGTGTATTAATTTCCTGTGGCTGCTATGCCACATTACCACAAACTGGATTGCTTAAAACAGCAGAGTATTCTCTCACAGTCTGAAGAAGAGAAATCCAAAATCTATATCACTGGGCTGAAACCAAGGTGTCGTCAAAACCTTGTTCCCTCTAGAGGCTCCAGGAGAGAATCTGTTTCTTGCCTCTTCCTGCCTCTGGTAGCTGCCAGGACTCCTTGGCTTATGGCTGAAACACTTCAACCTCTACCTCCGTGGTCACATTGCTTTTTCCTCTTCCGTCTGTGTCAAATGTCCCTCTGCCACCCTTTTACACGGATACATGTGATTTCATTAGGGTCCACCCGGATAATCCAGAATAATTTTCCCATCTCAAGGTCCTTAATTTAACAGCACCTGCAAAGCGTATTTTCGCTGTATAATACAACATTCGCAGGTTCCAGGGATGAGGATGTGGATACCTTTGGGTGGGATGATGGGGTCATTATTCAGCCTAGCGAAAAATACAAAATGTTCTGCTGATCAGTTTGGAGATTTTCATAGGTTAGATGTCATTCTCCTTTAACACTAATGAATCACCTTTAGCCCTTTGTACGCAAATCTGTAACTGGCATTCTTTTCACTGTTGGGCTCCAATGTTTGTCAGCCCACAGAAACTAGCTGTGGTGGAGTCTGTGTGACCCCAGCATGCTTGGGGGCTGTGTGCAGAGGAGACTGAAGGGGCAGTGCGTACATTTGGAACTGGTAGAACTAAACACCTTGGGAGGCATCATTGTGGACTCTGTTTATGTATCAGGAAGCTGACAGTGGACCCACAGCTTTCTAGGACGGCTGACACAAGCAAGCAGACAGCAACAGCCAGTGAGGGCTACACTGAAGAGGCAGACCCCCTGTTAGAAAGGGGATAGAGAGAATTCAAATATTTCTTAAGACAAGAGTTCAAAAACATCCAGAGAAAAATGTCTCTGGTTCTACCATGTTTCTATTCTTCTAGTTATTCACATGTGTTGTGGAAATGATCAAGTGGAATGTTACAGGCAAGTTGAAATTACTAGTATTAAAAATGAATCTCTGGGAATGTAAAATGGTACAGAAATTTTACACATAACAATAATTTTTTAATGTCCGTAAAAAAATAAGGATATGCTCATGATATAACCCAGCAATCTCACTCCTGGCATAAATTTATCACGGAGAAATGAGAACTTATGCCCGCATAGAATTCTGTACATAAGTGTTTATGTATAGCTGCTTTACTTGCACTAGTCAAAAAATAGAAACAACTGAAATCCCCTACAATAGGTAAATGGCTAAACAAACTCTGGTACATCCATGCCATGGACTGCTACTCAGCAATAAAATGACAAAAATGAGCTATTGATAAATGTAATGACTCGGACGCATCTCAAGGGCAATATGCTGAGCAAAAGAGCCAGTCTCCAAAAGTCCTTGACTGTATGATTCCATTCATTAAACCTCAAAATGACAACACTATAGATCTGGACAGTAGATTAGTTGTTCCCAGGGGTTAGGGACGGTGTGTGTGTATGTGTGTGTGTGTGTGTGTGAGAGAGTGATTACAAAGTGAGGGAGACTTTGAGGTGTTGCAATAGTTCTGTATCCTGACTGTGGTGGCAGTCATATGAACTTTTGCATGTGTGATAAAAATGATTTGGAACTGCTTGCACACCTGGTGCCCATGTCAATTTCCTGGTCTTGCTATTTTGGTATAACTATGTAAGATGTAAACATTGGTGGAAACTGGATGAAGGGTACACTGGTCCCTTTTGTTCTATTTTGCAACTTCCTTTGAATCTACAACTATTTTTTATTTTATTTATTTATTCTTTTGAGGAAGATTAGCCCTGAGCTAACATCTGCTTCCAATCCTCCCCTTTTTTGCTGAGGAAGACTGGCCTTGAGCTAACATCCATGTCCACATTCCTCTACTTTATATGTGGGATGCCCACCACAACGTGGTTTGGCAAGCAGTGTGTAGGTCAGCACCTGGGATCCGAACTGGCAAACCCTGTGCGGCCAAAGTGGAACGTGAAAACTTTACCACTGCGGCACCGGGCCGGCCCTATACCTATTTTTAAATGAAAAAATTTTAACAAAATGAACCTTTGAAAATGAGAAAAAAAATGGTTTGTTACAATTGAGAAGACAATTATGGGAAATTTATAATGAAAATGATTAGGATAAATTGGAAAGGGCTGGGTGGTTCTGAGGCTTTAATCATGGCCTGTTTAGCCATTCTTATCATCCTGATGGTGAAGGGGGGATGTCTAATCATAACTGAAGATAACCCAAGCTAGACAACTATCACTGTGCAATGCTGCACAGTTTTAAGCTTACATCATCACTCGAAAGCTCAGTGGGTGACATTCATCCTCAATCTTGGACTCAGTCAGCCTCTGTGACAATTTGTGAGGAATGCCAAAAACCAGCCCCTGATTGCCTTCCTACAGACAGTTTCCTAATGTGATTCTTCGTTACAGTTTGTTCTCACCTTCCCTGGGGACAGTAAAACACCAAGCCCAGGTCCTTGTGCTGATAGGGGAGAAGCCTGGACAGACTGCTACAAGGGCTGGTGGCTAGAGCCAGAAGGGGAAGCCAGGGTTTCTGCATGGAGAGGGGGTGACTCTGCAGCGCTGTGGATAAGCTGCTGGCACAGAGATACATGGCTGAGTCCTCGGGCTCTGTGCACTGGATCTTCAGAGTTCAGAACGATCTGTCAGGCATCTCAGCTGAGAACCAGTCCTTGGGCATCCCTGTCTCATCGATAGGAGATTGATTGCCAAAGGAAATCAGAACCTCCAGTCCCTGTAATAAGGTCTGTCTGTACCAGAAAAGGGCAGTGTGGCTTGAAATTGGCTCACATCTCAGAGTTACTGTTTGCCCTACTTTTGTCACCTGGTGCCTGGGTTCCTGGGTGACTCCAGCATCTGTGGGCTCTGTGGAAGGGGAAAGAATAAGAAAAATAATGGAGTCACATTAGGGAAAATTAGCATGAGGATGTCAAATATTCTGAGGACTCACCTACCCCCAGGAGACAAAGGACCACACAGCAGAGGGTCCGGGTACCCATGGCCAGGTGGTCAGATGTGGAACAGCCCAGATCAGGGCCCTTGAGAACATGAGCAGAGAAGTGAGTTTTGGGACACTCTAACCCCATGAGATGTGTCTGTCAGTGACATCACTGAATGAGCCGCCACATTCAACTCATGGGCTCAATTCAGAGAACGAGGCTGCATCTCTGTGAGGTGAATCAGACAGGACTGAAATCAATTGAAATTGATCAGAGACACAAATTCACACATCCAGAGGCTCCCTGAAGATTTTTTTTGGTCTCATCAATTCCAAAATCAAATATGTTTAGAATTAATTTTAGAATTAATTATTCTAGCCCATTGTACCCAAATTGAATAATTTTGGTATATCGGTTCCAAAACAGAGACTAATACCTTCTCTATACTAACTCTCCTCTAGAGCCTGTCACCTTTTTTCACTTGAACTTCAAATTCCAAGTATTTAAAGAGGAATTCATTGTACTGTTGCAAGTCAGCCTCTCTGAGAGCTCTCATATTCTTCCACTGGCAGCCCGATGCTCCTGGTCATATACACACACTCAGAATCATCCATCAGTTGGTTAGGAGTTGGGCTATGAGTTCTCCTGGAAGAACAAGAATACCAACTGCATTGTCAGGACATCAGGGGCTGAGCTGATGCTTTTGAGAACTGATTACATCTGAAAGCTCTTATTTGCGGTGAAAGACCTTTCTGAATTTATTTATCCTTGAGCTCCATTCAATTCCCAAAGCCTATATTAATCACCCACATTTCTCTATCCCCACCATGCAATGAGCAGCGTAGTTTCTTATTCTTGAAAATTAGCAAATAAAATGCTCTAGAGTTGATTTAAATCTCATTCTTCCTCTTAGAAAAGCTCAAAGCTTTTAGTCATTCATACCTGGCCTTTTCCTTAGAAAAGAGTCCTGATGCCACAAGCCCACTCCCTCTCGTGGAGGAGGTTACCAATTGCTGAAAGAAGCCTCTGCTTCTTGGGTTGGTCAATTAAGTTATTTGTTAACCAAGAAGAAGGATCAGTTCAAGCCCATAGTTTGTGGTCACACAGAGATGTACTGCTGAGTCCCCTGGACCCAAGGAGCACGTGCCAATTTTAAACAGCAGAGAGTTTGTAGGCTGGATTGTGTGGACTGAGGCACCTGTTTCTCTATGGGGTATGTCCTCTTGGTTTTTGTTGGACCCAGAAAGTAAAACTGTGCCCATTATTCTGCTTTCAAAAAGATCGTTGTTTGTTCCTTCCCTGTTACCTGGTACCTAGGTGTGGTGGGCAGAATGATGTCTTCCCAAAGATGTCCACGTCTAATCCCTGGAATCGTGAACGTGTTTGTTGTCTTATGTAACAAAGGGGAATTAAGGTTCTAAATGGATTAAGGTTGCTAGTCAGCTGACCTTAATATAAGGAGAGTAGCCTGGATTTTCCATGTGGGCCCAGTGTAATCACAAGTCCTAAAATGAGGAAGGAGGAGGAAATGGAGGCAGAGTCAGAGGATGCAGCATGGAAAAGACTTGACTGGTCACTCTGGGCTTTGGAGATGGGAGAGGGCCATGAGCCAAGGAATGCTGGTGGCTTCTAGAATCTGAAAAATGCAAGAAAACACATTCTCCCCTAGAGCCTCCAGAAGGATTGCGACCCTGCTGACGTCTTCAGTTTAACGCAGTTTGATCCATTTTGGACTTCTGACCTTCGAAATTGTAAGATAATAAATCTGTATTGTTTTAAGCCAGAGAATGTGTGGTAATTTGTTAGCACAGCAATAGGGATCTAATAAATCACAGTATCCATGGGACCATGGGTGAGAGAGGCAGTAGCTAGATACAAGGTCCGTGGGCAGACTGATGCACAATCTGTAGGAAGAACTTGAATCAGGCCAAGGGAAGCCCAGGCAGGAAACTTCTTATCTCTGCTCAGACTTCATCTGCTTCCAAGGGACACAGGGGAGTCTGGAGTGAATGACAAAGTCAGAACTACCCTGTGGCATCTTCCTGTTGGAGAAAAAGTTCCTGGGGAGAAATTCTATGCTGGCCCACCCCAGTCCCTGCCTGGTGATTGGATGTGCGGTGCTGTCCCTGTGACTGTCAGCTCCCCGGGGCCAGTCTCCCTCTGATGTGGTCCAGGGAAGCACCAGCACTTCTCCTGCTCTACACTCCACAGCACAACACAGCAGGGGGGCTGGCCTGGGCCTGTCTGCTTTTCCCAGCCCAGAACATGCAAGCTTCACCAGCCCAACTGCTTGTATCCCCACATCTGAAGCAAACTGGGAGGAATGCCCACTGCTAGCACACCTGCCATTCAGAGCCCAGTTCAGAGCTCCATTCAGAGAAAAACCAACTATAGAATCAAGGGAGAAGAGCTGGTCTCGAACTCCTTTTCAGCCATGGTTCAAGACATCTGCGACTCCTTAAATCTAATCCCAACCCCATGGTTTTCCCTAATCCTCTCCTTCCAGGGAATGCTCTCAGCCTCTCCACATTGACTCTAGATGATAACGCAGCCACAGTGCCTCCTAGTGGCCAGTGGGCAGAAACAGCACAGATGTGCTCTCCTGCCAGAACCTAAGGGTGTTGTGCTTTGTTTCACTGAGTACAGGAGATATGGGTATTATGATTTGTTTGATATTAGAGGGTCAATAAATAGTATTATCTTATTATAGCTTACAACGGAACCACCTGAGAGTTAGACGTTGCAGTCAGAGAGAGATGACAATGTCAGTTTTAATATTGGTAAATAGCGGGGCACAGATATGAAACCAAATGGGCTGGCTAGCGCTATGCTGAGTCAGAATTTAACTTATTTTCTCTCCCCTCCAAATTATGGGCTGACCCAGTATAGAAAAGAAAGTTCTCCACTAATCTTAGTGCATGTTGGGAAAACACAGAAGAATTTCTCTCTTCTCTAGGTAGTGAGAAAGAAAGCAAGTAAAGGAAGAGACACCAAAGTAAGATGAAGAGATAATAAGATAATTTATTTCCCTTCTCATAGAGAAGATTCAGCAAGGAATAGAAAGATTAGAACAGGAGGATTACGTTAGGGAAATCCCGAAAATGAGGACTGTGGTATAACCTACTGTCCCAAGAGAATGCATTTAAGTGGGAAAGGTGGATGGTTTCATGTCAATTATTCTCCTCAATTCCAACCACTTCTCCTTGGACAGACTCATAAAAAATAGCACAAATGTGTCACAGCAGAGCTGCAATGAAATGAATTGCAAGTCATTCTGTACTCTCTGACCAATTCTCAATATTCACTCCTTGTTGGTTTTCCATCTTGTCAAATGGTCCAAGGGAACCATAAGCAGTGGTTATGCGATAAAAGGAAAAAAGGAAAAAGTGACGTAAACAAATAGATTTCTTTTGATTTTCCACAATTTGATTATAAGTATCCTTTAGGTTTTTAAAAATACTTTGCATGAAATTATTTTTAAGTGTAGCATCTCTATGCCATTTAAGTTATATATCAAAGACATCATAGTCTAAGAATCTAACATTAGTTTATTTTTCTTTAAAATTTAAAATAAATGTATTTTGACCTTAATCCCAGTAATTGCCAATAATAGCACCCAAATCAACCCTTCTGTTGTCATCTAACTAGTTGGGTAAAATAGCAACATCAGAAAGTTCAAGTAATTAATGTTCTGAAATGTAGTGAGGGATGCTAGGCTGGGATCCTGGGGAGGGGGAGTCCCCAGGGAGGGGGGCTCAGCAGTCCCTTTGCCCTTGGGGGCTTCTGCCTGCCCTGACTCAGCCCCCAAGAGATGACTCGGAGGTCAGGGGGACAAAATTCAGAGCAAATGTGAAACATTGATGAACTCAGTGTACAGAGGAGCTGGAGGGAGAGCTGTTCTTTAGGGGATCCAGGACATCTCACGCCTGGAATTCTGATTCAGGTGGCCCCAGACTGTTGATACCCTCATGCACTTGGCTGAAGCAAAATAAAATTCTCTCTGGAGGGAGGTCCGTGTCCATCCTAGACAAAAATTATTTCTACAAGTTTAGTGTCAGAAACAAAGTCAATAATCAGATTCATAAGGAAATATACAAGCACCGTGAAAATACAAACATCATGACTGAAAAGCAGCAGAGAAAGTAAATCAACAAAAATCGCCACACAGAGATTTCAGATGTGAAAATGATCAGACAGACTCTGAAACACCTATGTTTCCTATGTTTAAAGAGAAAAAGGATAATCTTGGAAAATGTTATTAGAGAATTAATAACTATAAAATGTGGTGCAGCAGATTGGAAAACGAACCAAATGAAAATTCTGACAAGTAGATGGTGGGCAGCTGTGTTCATCACTGACTGAGGTTTTGTCAGATAACTTTATTGGGTGGAGGTGTGGGCGGAGGAGTTGAGGATACAGACAATGAGTGAGTGGGCATATGTTAGGATCTGCAGTCTCGGTTGGATCAGGAGGGAAGCGAAGCAGGCAGGGCTGGGGGTGGACAGTGACAGAACCTTCAGGGGAATCTCAGTGAGCTGCTTTCCGATTAGTTCCCACCAATACTTCAGAATGGTTTCTAGTGTTATCTCAGAGAATCCAGGCACAAGTTAGAGTAGAGGAGACGGCCCCCCTCCCAAAGGGTGAGTTATCAGAAGGGGTGATTGTGTAAGGGGCAATTGGTTGTTTTAGAAGTTCTTACTAACAACTATTTTAATGCACTAAGGAACTATTTTAAGGCACTAAAGCAGACAGCTGGAAATGTCCTCAACAGCCTATGCACTGGCTGGCTCAGCCTAGAGATGGTGTTGAACTATGTTGGTTACAGTGAAGAGTTAGACCTCTCTGGTGAAAGGAGAATTATTTTGAGCTAAGATTTATGACTGGTTTCCAGGATGTCTATCTATGTGTGTTCCACTGAAGTTGGAAAA